ATTTAAGTTCGGCCAGATCTTGTTGGATTACTTTAATATTTGTACTCTAGGATCTTTTTTTAACAAATTAGTAGTAGAAACTTCCTCTGCCTTTATGCAGCTAAAATTAAAGCAGCTCCTGAATGTTTGGATATAGTCCAATGCTACAGAAGTTTAATCAGTTTAATCACTTTAATCAGGAGAGAAAGGGATGAAAAATGTTTATTCCCAGAGCCCATTCTAAACAGGAAAATATATATTTTTATTTTTAAAAAATTAATAAGGTTTAATAAATTTGATTGGTTTCTTTTGTACTTTCATTAAGCTTCTTGTTGATTTTTTTTGTAGTTTTCTTGTCTTCCTCTTCCTCTTTTCTTTTTATACTCCTTTATGTAAAACTTAAAATAAATAAATAAATAAATTTTTTCATGTATACCATACATCATGTGAAAGAAATCATATTGAATAAAACGTCATACATTTAAATTTCATTTTGGATTCTGTGTTTGAAATGCAATAATATTTGTTACCTGAAAGTTTTCTTTCCATGCTGATTCATCTAGCATATGTAATATGCCATTAGAAAAATAGTGATTATCTGAATAGACTTATATCCCTTGTTCTAAATAGAAGTATCACTAAAATGGCAGAGAGGTATTGTGCTACCAAGTTCCAAATAATATTTATGCATATTTTCATAAATACAACAAAAGAAGAATTTGATGGTGAAAAGAAAATTAGAAACAGATTTTCTGTTAGAAACAAATTTGTAAAATGCAGAACAAGTTCAAAGACCAACTTGACTATAATGCTAATTCACTGGTTGACCAAGTACTCAGTTACTATTTCTCAATGAAACTTGTCTCATGAGTTTATTGTCAGAGTAAAGTAGGAGATTCTCAAAATGACAAGATGATTTAAAAACAACAACAGCTATTTTCCCTTCCAATTGTTTGGAACAAAAGCAACATTTAAAGATTTGGAGACCAGCAGTGCCCTATTTGTTTGCCATGAATTGTTCAGCAACTCCTCTGGCTAAAATTTACAACTTACTATGTTGGGAAAACTTGGCTACTGTTTAAGCAACATGGCCATGAAAAATATTATAAAACAACTTTCCTTTATTTTAATTCTCTCCTGAAAATAAAAAAAAATATTCTCCCTAAAACCTACAGTTCAGCTGCTTTGAATTTTAATTTGTTTTAATTTGAGCTTCTTTGCATAATATAATATAAAAGCTGTAGAAATTCTTATAAATCACAAGAATCACAATTATATTCTTGTATTGGCATGCCAATTAATTATGAGCTTTGGACCAAGCCTACTCATTTACTGTCTCTTATTCATACTATTCTGCCCACTTGTTAATCTAGGAAACATAAACTTTTAATGAGATAGTTTCTCAGATAGTTGGTTTTTTTTTTTAATTAAGGCCAATATTAAATCTATTGATCCAAGCATGTTAAAATTGGACAGCCACATATGTGCCAATTAGATATCTGATGCTATATTTCAGGACAAATTATTTTGCAAGAAATCCTGTCTGTTTTCACTATCAGTTATCAGATGGTTTTTGTCCAGTTTTGGATAATGATGAATATTCTCATAAATTTGCATTGAAATATTAATATTCTCCTGCATATTTTAGTAAAAATCTTTTTAAGCTAAAATATAAGGAAAATATATAATTTTTAAAAAATATGAATCTGAAAAAATGTTTAATATTTTGCATTCATCAAGAATTGAGCCTTACTAGAAGGATTTTTATAAGTAACGTTATTGAATTTAAAGGGTTTTTATGTTTAATTTTTAAGTAGGTGTATTAAACTCTATTTCCCTTTTATGTTTTTAAGACAACTGTTTGAATTTTCATTGACTTTATTTAAATTGTGGTGGTTTTCCTGAGCTGCTTTAACTTGACATTTTTTAATGTAAAACAAAATAATTTCAAACTTAAAGAAAAAAATAATTGACAAAGAGAAAAAGGCAAAAAGTAAATATAATTGAGTCCTTTTAAGAAATCCACTGGTTCTATAGATAGTGAGGATTATTTGGAAAATTCCTGATATATAGTTGATTTATACTTTTTCTGTCATAGTTTAATGCTTTCTGTGCAAAGCTACATCATAACTGGTATAACAACTTGCATATTACTCTTCCCACAACACTGCTTCTGGATAAAGCTTTACTTTCCATTGCTTTTTCTCATGTATGAAATAAAGGTTTTTGACTTTCTTTCATACCTTTTGATATTTCCTTGTTGGGACAAAAAAAGTCTCTTACAAATTTTCTTAAACCAAGCCACTCTATAAGTTGGATTTCCTTTGGGATTGGTCACTTTTCTCTTAAGCCAATTCTTATTTGACCTTGCCCAAATGAATGGAATCTAGCCAAATTTCATAGTTGGAGTCATTTTATTTCTCATGGAAGCATATATGTAAGACAGCATGGCAATAGTCATGATAGTTTTTCAGACAGTGATTTTGACATAAGCTATCTGAATTAAGATTCATGCAAAGAAATCCTAGAACTACTTATGCTAGCAACAGTTATGGAAGACAGGTGATGAAATCTGACTTCAGTTATATAAGTAGTATTTTGCCAATAACAATAATCATATAATCCCAGAATAAACATCAAACCCAGGCACATCAGGTTGACAAATTAAAGAAAAGTGAATTTAACCTTTAATGCAAAAACACTTATCCACTAACTCTATCCATCACAGTTCCCGATATATAAAATGTTCATTCTTTCCATTCAGTTTTTCCTTCTCTCCGTAGTATAGTCTATCAAAGGAAAAACATTTCCTTACAGCTGATTACTAACACTAATTCAACGATTTGCTTAATTAATAGTCTTATAATAATCACATCAAGCCTGTCATTTTTTCCCTAGTATTAAGATAGTTTCATAAAAGGAGAAATACTGAAAAAGAACTTTTATCAACACCGAGTAGGAAGTGTATTTACCTTTTCTTTAATTATTAATACATAATGCCCCAGGTTGATCCTGACTGGCAAGTTAATTACTTATAAAGAAGAGGCAGGGAATGCTCTTAAACAGGCTTAGCATGGGCAGCACCAGCCCAAAGTACTCCATATCTGCAAAATCTCTAATTTCATTCCACAGATGTCTGATTTAGTGTTACTGTGCAAAATAAATTTTAATTCCTTTGTCCCTCAGAGAACCCCAATGTATTCTTTAATGCTCTAGATGAATATTTTATGGGAATGATTGTTTTCAATACAATGTCTGTTGAAGGGTTCATTTACATAACTTTTCCCTGCTTTCTTTATTCTAGGCTAGACATAGGTAATTGGCAATTTGTGGGATGGGAAAGAAAACTTGAGTCACTAGGACTCACTCTAAACTTGGAAGAAAAGAACTTACTTAATAATGCCAATGAAAACTTCAGTACTAATGTGAAGCATTCATGTCATTGCATCATATTGAACTGTCTTTCTCAGTTTCTTACTTTCTGATGTGTTGAAACAATTTGCAGATTCTTTCAACAGAGCTTATTGTCAGCCCTGAAGCCATTTTGAGCTGAAACCATTTTGGGAGCATCTTCAGGTCTGCCACAGCAATGCCAGTTGGAGTTGTGAGAACATAAGAGGGAAGATAGAGATAGCTGGGAATGTGTAGACAAAACAACATTCTTTTCTATGGGAGCCAAGGATAGTCTACTAGGTGTTGGAGACGGGTGGACCAAAGCCAGCCAGGATGGTTGCTGTGACCTGGTTGGACTATGTGATGGGTGTATGACCTGGGGGAAATAACTTTGGGGTTTGATTTGGGTGGGAAAACCTTGGGTCCTTCAAAGTCAGGTTTTCCCCAGATGTGCCAATATGACATGTCTAATAAATCTATACTTTGAGGAATATGCCTGCCTTGGAGTATTGATTCTGCTGGGTATGTTAACTGGAACCCTGACACTTTTCTTACATTACCTGGGAATTTAGTGATACAGTCCAAACATGGCAGAATGGCATTTTGATGTAGAAGACTGCACTGCATCATTCAAAATTAAGTGGTATGAAATCTATGGCATTTTTTTATGTCAGTGAGTTGCAACTCTTAGCATGGTTGGTGGTGAGAATTTATATAGTTTGATGATAACTATTGTAGAGGCTATAGAATTCTATCTCTGAAATATTGAATTATTTATATAGTTTTTTTTTTCATTTGATCAGACACTCAAACAAATTATACAGAGTTCCTGATCATAGAAAAAACTTGTAGCACTTCTTTTATAATGTCCACTACTGTCACAGATTTCAGAGTCAGCATGATTTTGCCATCTTTTAATGTACTTGGAATGTATGAGGTGCATGAAAAACATAAAAGGCAGGAAACAAAAGCAGATTTAATTCATTTTTAAAAAGATGGCAATGACATGACAATGACCTGTGTTGAGGTCTATAATATATATCTTTGGAAATTGGGGCTTTAGCTTTTAATAAATTTATTAGAATGTTTTCACTGAATAATTACAAGTAAATAGCAACAATCAAACCATCTGGATTGTCGGAGTTGACAGGCAACCCAAAGAAGAAAAGAGGTGGGCATGGATTTTTTTTTTCTATAAATGTATAAAAATCTTAAGGAAAAAAATCAGGATCTATACAAACCATATAAAAACTTAGAATATTTTTTATCATGTAGGAAAAGTTAGTTACACTAGTAATAAGATGTCACGCGTTATATTTGATTTGCTTTTTCCCACTTGTTAGCTTCGGGATTTTGTTCTTTGAAACAGATCTTCGTTCACATTAGGAGTTCATTTAAATATTTGGAAATATGCCTGTAATACAATCTTTTAACTAAGATTTGGTTAGCCCTGTGGAGTGTGTGTTTGTATGTGTAGATATTTTCTGCAAGAGTTGGAATTAGTTGTGCAACATCCTGCTACTCTTAAAAACAAAAGGAGAAAAAATGCTGACTAATGCTGGAACTAGCTCATATGGCTGATGCAAACCTGTGGAATTTGCATCATCATTCAGTAAAGCTAACTTGGTATGACAAAGCTTAAACACAATATCATACTGAAGTGGAGCTGGCTTCCAATGACAGAACAGTACCAAAGTAGCTGAGGGAAAAAGCAGGTGTTTTTCAGCAGCAGTTTGCTACCGCTGAAAAGTTAAAACACACCTGACGAGCTTTAAACCTGTTGGCACAAGCAGGCTAGAGGCAGTAAGGGAGTGTGTGCAATAACTATTAGCTAGAAAAAGACTAAGAGAAGGAAAAAAGAACAGAGAAGGTTTTTGTTTTAATCTTTGTAAATTGTGTGAGCTGCTCTAAAGCATGTTTAGGAAGTCTCACATCTCCTCATGTTCCAATGGAAGCTACCCTCAGGGACAATCTAAGTTGCCTTCCACATATGACATCAAGGTAGAACCAGAAGGCAAAGTGGTGTTGAAGAAGAAAATAACTTTGCTGAGAGGAATATCCATTATAACTGGCACTATAATTGGAGCAGGAATCTTCATCTCTCCAAAAGGAATTCTCCAGAACACTGGCACGGTGGGAATGTCCTTGATTGTCTGGACTGTCTGCGGTATTCTTTCACTCTTTGGTAAGTTTTCAAAGTTTTTAATTGATCCCTGGGGTGGCTCTCCTTCCATCTATTTTTCCACACAAAGCCTGAAGATCAAAAGTTTGGTTAATGTGCCTTCTGTACTGAATGGATTTAAGTTTTTGCTTTTAAAATAGATGGGGCTGCCTAAAATAGACAAATAAAGGAATTTCCTAAATCATAATCTTATTATATTTGTGTTGTTTATGTACACACTCTAAAAACAATTTTCAGCAGGCTTGCAGAATGTTGCAGCTGGAGAGGATCTTCTCAGTCTTGAGAACCTGCAGGAAATAAAATTTGCCTAGCTCAGTGTTGAATAAATATAATTATTAAGTAAATTTTTGCTGAATTATTTGCTGCTCTCCAACATATAGCCTTAAATTAGTTTTAAAACATTAGACTAACATTTTTCTGGAATTGTAGATGCTGAATTGGAGTTTCTTATTTCTAATCCTAACTAATGGGGAAGATTATTTGGTAAAAGTAAAATCCCTAGTACATGCTCAGAAGCAGTATTGTAATGTGTGCAAACACTCTTGTAAGGTTGGTAACTGCTGTGACTTAAAGTTCTAGAGTTTTTAAATTTAAACTTTAGTAGCATGCATTTTCACTGTTGAACAGTGCAAATTTCTTCTCAGCAGTTCTACATATGAATGCAATTCTGAGAAGCAGCATTAATAATCTGCTTGACAATTTTGCAATGTACAAAATGGCATTGCTTAAAGATTTGGGATTTTTCTAAACGTTAATAATTATATTGGGAGCAAATATATCACTGATATTAGAATTATGTCTCCTTCTTAAACTATCCAAACAATGATTTCATTGATTGCCTTAATCAGCTAAGAAGGGGGATAATCCACATGACTAGAGTAATTATTATAGTCCATACTACTTTTTTCTAGCATTAGGAATAGTAGATAAACTAGATTTAGTATCAAATATCCAGCCAAGAAGTAGAATGAATGTTACTCTCTGTCAATAAATTCTGTATATTAAAGAGTAGAGGTGAGGCTTAATCCACCCTTGACAAACAAGTTGCTTTGCATATTCAAACTGAGTCAGAAGTAGGATATAGAATTGACACACCAAGAATAATTTATGGTTGCTCTAGTTCTTCCTGGATATTTGGATTTTAGATTTCCATAATTCTTAGATATGATTATCTCCCTTCCTACCCCTCAGCTCCAATGTGGCAACATTGAAGTGGTCAAAATGGCTTTGGTGAGGCCAGCTTCAGGGTTGGCACTGAGAATGAGTTCAGCAGTAAATCCTTCCTGCTACTATTCAGTATGATTAACACTGCCTCCAAACTATTCCATTTTCCATTTTTGTTCCTTATGGGGTTTAAGACTTATTAACTTAAACAAAATTAATGTATTAATCCAATCAGGTCTACTGAAAAGTAATATGAAGATAGTTCTATAGATGCTTATTTAAGATAATTGAACATGTTCTTAGGAAGCAGGCTAATGTTATTTTGAATTATTGATAAATTTCTCTAGGTTTGTCTTGTAATTTCTATTGAGAATGATTTAGAGATGAGGCCAAGTGATGTACTGATTTGATTAAATTAAAGCAAATATAGAATTCATTTACTAGTAGAAAAATGTGGGTTAGACAGCATCACCATTAGATGGATTTGTAACTGGCTGACCAACTGCACTCAACATGTAATCCTCAATAGAACTGCATCTACATGCAGGGAAATATGCAGTGGACTACCTCAAGGCTCTGTTTTAGGCTTAGTAGTCTTCAACATCTTCATCAGTGACTTGGAAAAGGGGATAGGTGGGAACTCATCAAATTTGCAGATGACACCAATCTGTCAGGAATAGCCAACACTCCAGAAAATAGGCTTAAGATACAGAAGGATCTTAACAGACTTGAACATTGGGTGCTATCTAACAAAATGAAATTCAGTGGTGAAAAAAGTAAGATTCTACATCTAGGCAAGAAAAATCAATTGCACAGGTACAGTATATGTGGTACCTTGCTCAATAGTAGTAATTGTGAGAGGGACCTCAGAGTCCTAGTGTACAACCATTTAAATATGAGCCAGTAGTGTGCAGCAGCTGCCAAAAAAGCCAACATAGTTCTAGGCTGTATAAACAGAGGAGTAGAATCAAGATCACATGAAGTGTTAATACCACTTTATAATGCCTTGGAAAGACCACACTTGGAATACTGCATTCAGTTTTGGTCACCACGATGCAAAAAAGATGTTGAGACTCTAGAAAGAGTGCAGAGCAGAGCAACAAAGATAACTAGGGGACTGAAGGCTAAAACATAGGAAGAACGGTTGCAGGAATTGGGTAAGTCTAGTCTAATGAAAAGAAGGACTGGGGAGACATGACAGCAGTGTTCCAATATCTCAGGGGCTGCCACAAAGAAGAGGGAGTCAAGCTATTCTCCAAAGCACCTGAGGGCGGGACAACAAGCAATGGGTGGAAACTAATCAAGGAGAGAAGCAATTTAGAACTAAGGAGAAATTTCCTGACAGTTAGAGCAATTAATCAACTTCCAACACTGGAAGTTTTTAAAAAGATGTTGGATAACCATTTGTCTGAAGTGATGTAGGGTTTCTTGCCTAGGCAGGGGGTTGGATTAGAAGACCTCCAAGGTCCCTTCCAACTCTGTTTATTCTCTTCTCTTCTCTTCTCTTCTCTTCTCTTCTCTTCTCTTCTCTTCTCTTCTCTTCTCTTCTCTTCTCTTCTCTTCTCTTC